ACAGTCGTCCTTGCAGTATTGATTATTTGACTCGTATTCATCCCTATTGCAGTGTTTTTTACGACATTGACCACCACACGTATCTGCACATGCTGGTCCCCCTACATCAGTAATTATGAAGAATGTTCACACCAGTATATTATATTTGTTATTTAATATGTGATGCAATAGCAATAATAATAACAAATTTCACGTCTATTATTTTGTGGACAGCTGTTCTCGAACCAGACATTACAAAATAACAATTCAGTTAACAAATAGTTATCACCAATATTATATTTCTAAAGGAAATTGTTCGTTTTGGGAATTACAGTAACAGTGTGTTACGTTCTAGTAAGAGCAAGAATGTATCATGACAGATCGTAGCTGAATATAATATATTACACTTACACTGTTGACCGTCGGTAGAAATGGCAAACAACTGGAAATAAAAAGGGCCATTATTTAAAATTACACCATGCATGTTCAGAAAGATATACAGTAAGACAGACTGTCTATACACAACCTACACTAGCTGACTTATACCTGTTGTTGGTTTTCATGATGCAGTGTATACAATCATCAACACCCACTGACTCATGCGATCAACTGCGCAAACACATACTTTACCATCAATCATATTGAATTTGTGTAGTGGAAATCCCATGTTAATGTTTTGTAATAAAATTGAGGAATATTTATAATTTATAGCTAGTACTTACACAGACCAACGCTACCAGCGTGAACAGAAAATGACTGGAATGCATTTTGAATATATCTTCACTCGGAGAAATTTATGGACGCTGACAGCCGAGTCCAGATGTGTGAATGATATTCATTTTAGTCATATTTATACGTTTCATCATCGGGCACATCGAAGAGCTTAGTTGCGGTGAAACATACAGTTTTTCCCATATGTTTATAAAATATCCGGAAAAAAATTAATACGATTATACATCCGATGAACCAACACAACATCGTGCTGATTTTACAAATGTTGCATTACTCAGATATGCACGAGCCGATACGCATATAGTTTCTTGTTTATGTTACCGAGTGCGAATTATTCACAAAACCTCGAAACTATAATTGCGATAATGTTCACACTGCCATGATTATAACAAGCGTTTTACCTTAAACCGCGCCTCTACCTTAACGTGGTATGGACGACGTCAATCGTTATTAAATTATATATGGAACAAATAAACTTAAATTAAAAAGCTGTAATTAGTTTCAATGACTGAATAGCACTTAAAAACATTGTTTTTCTCCATGCGATACGTTCATTAGAATAGCATGTGTTTTTAGTTTTAATCAAAATCTTGAATTTTATTGTTCATTATGTAACTTATTAATACATGTATTAGCAAAATATTCCAATGAGATTATGCAGTATATGTGCTTCGCTTATGAATTAATCGTATCTATAAGAGTCTATACTATACGTTCATAATCAGAATAGTTTTTGACTGCAACTGTACGGATATGATACTTACAATGTTAATTAGTTTCTATAATAATAGTCGACCATTACTCGCACTTATTGTATCGTATAGGATTATTCATCACATAACTATGAGGAGCTGTTTAGTATTTTGTGAAAAATAGTCTGATGTGTGTCTTCGTTGTAGAGTTTGTACTGGTTTCATAACTAGTAGCTTTCTCGATTTAATTACTTCACGTGTCTATGAATAAATCATCGTTACGTATTCCACATCATCCAAAACTCTTAATTCAGAAAACATGCAGTTGTCAATGTGTATAGTCAGAGTGGTATACAGTAAATTAAATTAACATTTTCAGCACATATCGGTTATCATATGTTTATTTCCAAAGTAGTTATCTAAATTCCCATTATCGGTAAATATATTGATTCGATTATACAGGTATACGTGACGAGTTTGCAAATGATTTTAATCCATAACTAGCCATAATATACATTCATAATCAGAATATGGTTTGACTGAAAGTACTCAGGTCTGATGCAGTATTTATGTTTATTATTATTATTGTTTTAATCTAATTATATTGACTATGTTTTATTAAATGTAATTTACTGTTCATCTTACTGTTGTTATTGTGGTTTCAATAACCACAACTGTCTATCGTTCACACATATTGTACCGCAAAAGATTAGTTATAATACAACTGGATAGAGCTGTTTTGGTGCAAAATAGCCTAAGGTGTGTCTTGGTTAGTGAGGTTGTGATATGTGCAATCGGATTTAATACGCTTTATATGCATCAAGCATCACGATGAGGTTGATCACTTTAGTTGTGTTTTCATGCCATATTGATACGAACAC